CCAGAAGAATGTTTATGTTAGGAAACAAATGTTTGTTACATCCCTTCAGGGCAGTTATACCATTGTTTGGTATATTTTGCTTAGTATCCCACATTTTCTTCCATATATATCAGAAACGATCTCCTGAAAGGATATTTCATCATTCTCCTCAAAAATGGTCAGAAACTGTTCAAGTATATCTCTCATACCTCAATATTCTCTCATCTGTTTTGTTTTTAGTTATTGATGGCACACAGGGGTGAAGGTTGTATAGATTCAATTCATTTTCTGATAGTCTATCATTCAGATCAAGGATAATACTGGGATGAAATAGTTATTCTGTAATGGTCATCCACTGAGGCCCCATGGCCCCCCCCCTTGGATCCGCCCCTGCAACGACCTTACGATGGGAACGAACGAAGAAAAAAAAAACAAAATTATAGGACCCAAAGGTGCCCGAAGGCCGCTACCGTATACCTTACGATCTTCTTCTCTTTTTCGGGGCCGGTGCGTCACGTGACATTTGCATAATGACGTCGATAACGTCTCTAGGAAGTGTCTCAGCTGCATAGTGAGCGGTCTGAGAGCCAGAGGCAGCAAGCTATGCCTTCGCGCGTAGCCTGTCAGATCGTCATTAACAGATATGAAAAGTAAGAAGAGGAAAATTGAGTCGACGATGATGTGATAGCCCTGGAAAATTATCGATAATACTTCGATTGTTAATGCGACCATCATGAGAAGCAAGCTTGCAGCAGTTTTTTCTTCTGAATCAGAGAAGTTTGAATCAGAAGAGTTTGAGTATTCTTATATTGAAGCTATTTGCCTAACTGAAGACGCTAAAGTCCCATCTGAGATATCTTCTATCGTAGCAAAAACTCACTCTTAATATCTACGTACTGCTTGACTTCTTCAATTAGGTCATGGTCATGTTTTCTATTCGCTGTAGCCGTTTTGATAATATCAAAAACTACGGAAAAACATGTCTCACTTTCAATCTATGCCAGGGATTAAGATGTTTTTCCGTAGTGTTCAAAGTCATCGCAACTTCATCTAATGAATCAGGATGATGGGTGAAAGAACTCACAGTCATAACTCCACCACATGAACAGTTTGATGATGACCAACAATTATGGACGAAAGGACATGTTTAGAATGATTAATCCTTCAATATCAGCAAATTTATGAAATAAGAAAATCTGTAAGAAGAAAACAATGCTTATGTCAGATTTTAAGTATTGTTAATAAGTCTGAATGTTCGTTTCCATCAAGACATAATTTTAAAGAAAATATTCAAAAGCACAAACATGTGGGTCTGAATTTATTGAATTAGTATAACTAATCACAAATGGCAATCGACAAAATGACACTTGACAATAATGACGCTGAGGACGAAATACAACATCAGAATGACACAAATCACGTCAAAATCAAGAAAGGTTCTGATTTGAAGTGACATAGAACACAGAACAGAATTATAGTTAAAATAATAGGGATTTGAATAATTTGAGACTATCGAATCGAGTTTGTTCATTGAGGCAGTTGAGGTTAGAGTTTTTACAGTTCTCTTGATTTCCAAGGTTCCGAGGAAGTCAAGTTTTTTCCTTTGTCATCTCATGCCCTTGGCGACCGCGAATAGTCTTTAATACTTCCTCAATATTCAAATATGCATCCCTTAACCTATCTAATCTTATGCTCTCACATTAACCTTAGTGTTATTTCTATTGCCCTTTTCCAAGTTCATATTATAATAGTAGATTGTTTTATTATAGGATCAAAAGTGACACTTTGTTTGACAAGTGAATTTTGCATTTGCGAGGCGTAGCGTTTAGTGAAGCCGAGCGAAAGCAAAATTTGCGAGTCGAACAAAGTCACTTTTGATCCGAATAAAACATGCTATTTTTTCTGCAACCGAAACAATCAACTCAAATAAACATGTGAAGTTACCACCAATGCCGTGCCATATGTATGCAATGCAACAAATATTGACAAATAATCCATGTGGTAAGAATATTCTACCTGCATTAACAACAGGTTAGGTTTTCAAGGATGTTCGAATTGTAGTTTCAATATAAATACAACCACAGAGTGACATATTTGTGTATGGACCAGGTGCTCTAATGACAAATACCGCGCCAGTGCCAGCTATAGGAACAAGACGTGGAAAATGTTAGGTTATTGAGCATATCAACAATGATAATAGTAATTATTTATTCCTCTCCATACTACACTGTGTTTGACTTGATAATCAAATGAAGATAAACAATATCGTTGTTTGAGACAAAAAACTATTGCTTGCCGTGATTATTCAAAAACAAGTTATCCATCCCGAGAATTACGAATGAAATACAGATCAAGCAAGTATTTGAATCTTGAAGACTTCCCTGATCAAACAAAATTACTTAGCTGAGATATTTATAATTCCAATACAAAACTATAATAAGGTGTATTTATATATCTCCAGCATGGGTATGAAATGCCAAATCTGCTGAAATCGGAAAAAAATCAGGTATGCGTCTCAACTCAAATAACCAACCGTCACAATGTTGTTTATTCTTGATGACGTCCAGTACATCCTTTTTAGTTCCTAGGAGCTGAAGTTCAACTTTAGCTCCTAGGAACTAAAATTCAACTTTAGCTCCTAGGAACTAAATATGTTGCCTAGCAACATACCTATTTTTGTATCAGTAATAGAAACGTCAATTTAAGAGCTAATTTTGGTATCAAAATGGACGACTTTTGTGTCGGTTGCAGAAAAAAAAACTTTTCAGCTCTTCCAACGAGTATATAAAATCATTACATAGATTGGGAGTTTCTTCAGCAGGCCAGCAGCAATTTTCCTAGCCAGCATCTTTCTCAATTTATCAAACCTGTTTTCTTCTATAGTGACCTCTAGTAATTCTGACTTCATGATAAATGCCGGTAACAAACTGTAGCTCAAGGAGAGCTGATTGACTGATTTTCGAAAAGAAGGAAAACCAAATTGTAAGCTGGATCGTGGATCTTAAACCCAGAGCTTTATCAGATCGTTTTGGTGATTCTTAACTAGATAGTCTTGATTTGACTTGGTGAGTCGATCACCTTCAATGCTGGTTAGCTGTCTGAGTATGGATGGCAATGTTTTTGCCTGATACTAAATATTTTTCTTGCACAATGTTGTATGGTTGCAGTGCTACCTCATGCTAGGAGCTACTTTGTTAGTTGGTCGGTTCGAGGTTCGATGAGACTGGAGAATTTCAGTTGTCTTGACACTGCAGCCATAGCTTTTCGAAACTTCCTGTCTGCCAGTTAGTCTCCGAAATTCGTTCACTTTCTTAGCGAGATCATCTATGTTTCAATGGGTAATTGATCTATGAATTTGACCATAGCCTTATCAGTATGCGTATGTTATCTTCACCAAATTGATGTTATTGAGCCATTGTGAAGACCATGACCGCTTTCTTTCGTACCATTCAGGATTTGATTTTATTAGTGGTGGTTGAGGCAGACGTTTTACTTATAATTTTCTGAGTAAGTTGAGTAAGGACTTGAAGTACTTATCAAAATGTCTATGGACGTAGCGAATGGAGAACCACTGGATCTTGCTATAGACTACAAGCAACGATCAAAATTCCAATAATGTTCGAAGAACATCGTATGCATACGTGCAAAATTCCAAAGCTTTGCTGTTTTATTGACGAATGACATTCCCCCCCGTGGAAGAAGTATCTATAGAAAATTGAAAGGTCGCTGACTTTTCTACGGTGTTCTAATGAGGACCAGGTGAATGGTTTTTCTCTGGATGGAATCTAAGAGTATCAGTGTAAGTTTGGATGCTGAGAGGATTCAAACTTTTGAAGGACCTTAGGGACCATGGGTTTAGGTACAAAGAACATGATTCCTGGACGTCGAAAAACACACTGTTAGCAGAAGAGCAAACGGTTATAGGAGGAGGACATTTCACTATTGATCTTTTCCGCGAGTATTGACCGGACTAATATTAATAATAATAATTGTCGGTTGGTCGAGAGGATATCAGATACTTCTGGCCCGTTTGGTTCAATTAGTGGCCAGGGTATATGAATCTGTCACCGGGCCCATCTGGGCATCCAGTTGAGGCCGCACCGGCTCATTTCTAGCACCTGTCCTGAGCACACGAAGCACGGAGGTATCAAAAAATCATCGAGGCGAAAGTAAATGTTTAACGATCGATCGAATCTAAGAAATCATCGTTTCATATCGACTTAAAATATCTAGGGATTACAGGAGCTCCTGAACTTTTTCGATTTCGTCACACTATTTGTGAACACTGGGTATGTCATAATTGGAAAACTTCGAACAGTAAATCTAGAACAGAAAGAGAGAGAATACTGCATGCCGATTGAAAATCGGTTGATTTCCAAAAAAGATATCGCTTATCTTGAAAAACTTCAAAATTTTGAGTGGCCCACTTGTTCATTCTAGAACTTTGATAAGATTGCTCAGAATAATTGGTATACTTGAAACTCAGAACAACTTTAAACAAAGCTGAATAATTCAATCCATCAATAAAATTGGGCGAGTGGAATCTTAGTTTGAGAAATAAAACTCAGAATTACACTAATGAAAAATCTTATAGTTAAAATCTACAAATGAAGAAAGCATAGTTGGTATTTTTACTCAAAGTAACAAATACCGTTGTATTTTCATTGGTTATAATCTATTTACAGGGTATTTTTATGCAAATGGTCGACAGATCAACATATTTGTATTATTTATACTCTTCAGAATTTGAATTATTCATTTTCAATCTATTATTTGTTTTATTCTATTAGGATTCATAAGTACCTATAATGTGTTGAACATATCTCTGATAGAAACGATACAGGGTAAATAATAAGAAATATCTCTATATACCTATAATCGTTTCATTGTTGAATGAACGAATTGATATTATACTTTGTGTATGACAATGCGTTGTTTTTTGTGACAAAATTGAATTATTTTAACAATAAAAATACTATACCTATACCACTAGTTTGTTTCTTTTTGTTTCATGGATCTGCTTGCTGCTGCTGACTTATTCAATTGGACTTCAGTATGTAAGTATCTCAATACTTTGATTGATATAAAGTTTGTTGAGTTTTTTACATTTTATACAAAGTTAATGCATACAAAGTTCATTCTGGTTTTCTCAATGAGTCTCATTCTCATAACCTCATTCGAATATCTTCTTGTAGTTTTGTTTTTCACTTTTCTATCGTATGTGTCTTGTTGTAAGTATCTTATGAACAAAACTGATTTTCTTTTTCTTCCAGACTGTTTTGCATTGGGGTGCAAAATATGGCAACGCTGATATCATTAAAAGTTTCGCTGGGACTTATAAAGTCAATATCAACGGAAAAACGGTATGTTGAAAACATTCTTTTCGCAATCCAGTGAATCAATATTCCTTTATGATTTGATATTGATAGACAAATTATACGCATGTACACGGTGGCTGGAATTCGAGCTTCATCATTGGGATCTAAAGTTGCGCAATTTTATGACTAACAAACTGCGTCGTTTTGAAAGTTGAAATATTCCTAATACTTGCATAGATTTTTGGATGAAACCGAATATTCGCGATATCATTCTTTGTTTTAGGACTCTATTTGAATTGATGTAACAAAACAAATGATACATTCTCATTGCTATACCTTGTTTGTTCTACAAGATGGTGTTATCAGATTTTCAAACCAACGTTTTGTCTTCAGATTTCAGTATTTGAAAGTTGTTGTTGGCTGTCTTTGTAATTCTGCAACAAGTTATCGATGTACAGGGTGTCCCTAAAAGATCTGTAAAAAATCTCAAAATAAGCCGATTTAAAGCAACTTACCTCAGTCCGAGATACAGGGCGGTCAAGTTAAGGAATAAAAATCGACAAGTACACTTCAAGAAAGTAATTTGAAAAATCTATTTTTGCACTGCTAATTCACTGACCAAAGTACATCTAAGAAAATAACAGCAAACATTTTTTATTCAAGATCATTTGAATATTCTGGTGCTGCATCCAACATTAAAAACCGAAATATCTCGTAATCGGCTTACTTTAGCGGATTATCACAAGAGTATCTTTCTCGCATTAAAATGTTCAGAAAGAGATTTCCGACGAATAGAGTAAGAAACTACTCTGAGAAAAAAGTTATGGCCATTTTAAACCATAAGAAGTGCCCTCTAATGGCCACAAGGAAAAGGTTCATATCCCAAGAAAACCCCAAATATTAATTATTGAAGTAATGTATTCAAAAATACTTTCTGAGAAATTCGTTTTTTTATAGTAATAAGATGCGCCTATCGAACGAGCGAGGCGGCGATATTTAGTGAGAAAGACGGAGTCCGTTCTGGAATTTAAAATTTTTACCTCGTGTCCTACCCCTTAATAGAGAAGAAACTGACGTATCATCGATATCCTCCACTTAATTCGGCTCGTTTTGACCTCAGGAATATGTGCTGAGATTTTGTACAGATCTTTCAGGGACACGCTGAAGTACTTATAGTATTACTACTTATAATATTATGATATATTATTATATTATGATTTTCTATATTTTAAGACTAATCTTTTTTTCATGAATTTCGTTGTTTGGATGGCCACACAATCATCAGAACGGAGTAAGTATAATAATTCTCTTATACTCAACGTATTCCTCATCTGTTTTTATTTTTTGATCGTTAACCGCCCCATTTTTATCATTCCTGTCGCTGCTCAAAGGGCAGAAATGCTGAGAAACCCGAAAATTCTCAGCATTTCATTAAGCGGACCGGAAAAGGTCAGCTGTTGCTTCAAAGTCGCCGGCCATCTTTTCCAGGAAACACTAAATTCCGAATCCATTTCCTACATTTTAATGTTTTTTCTCGTTTTTCGGCGAGGCATTCCTCGGGCACAAAAATTAGATATAAAATTTGTCTTCATCGTTCACGAACACAGATCGGACGTGCGATAGGGAGAAGAGCTGATAAATCAAAAGATCCGAGCACATCATTTATAAAAGATACTTCGTTTGATACAGGGTGGAACACGTACGATAGGCAACAACAAAAATGCCCGAATTAAATTCAAATGTGCATATAACTGAAATATATTATATGCCGAGTGACACAGGGTATAGGGCCAGCCCTGTAACTTCTGCATTTGTAAACGGATTCTTCTGAAATTTGACATTATTATTTTCGCATTTGTAAACGGATTCTTCTGAAATTTGACATTATTATTTTCGCATTTTCTAGTTCAACAGGTCAAAAATGGAGCAATCCTCATGTCAAATGAAATTCTTTCGAAAAAATTTAAATCAAAACAGTTGTTTTATTTTTGTCGAAACTATCCATTATTGGTCAAAACAGCTGATCAAAACGGCTCACATGTCCCTATCTCAACTTTTGATCAACTATCTACTGACATTTAATTGAAACAAATACAGGGTCGTGCAGAATTCAGAATCTTGATCACCCGGTATATGTCCCAATTAAATATCAGTAGATAGTTAATCAAAAGTTGAGATAGGGACATGTAAGCCGTTTTGACCAATAATGAATAGTTTCGACAAAAAAAATTCCTAAAGTTGAAAAATGACGATTTTTCACACCCTATATCTCTGTAATCATTTCCGCTAGACCCCAAGTGTGATACATCGATGAAATCAGCTCTTCAGAGAGAATCTGAAAATGCAATAAAATACAGGGTGTTCCATTTAAAATAACAAAGTTGTTACTACTTTTCGATAGAAGCGGCAACGCCGCTGAGCTGAAAATATTTTAGATCGATAGACCAAGAGCAACTACGTGAGTAACCAAAATTTCAGAATGATCCTATGTCCCGTTCTCTATAAACGTCTAACGTACCATCGACCGTGAGTTACCCTGTATATTAATAATATAGAGGGTGTTCCACTGGACCTTTCCCGTCATTTCTAGAAAAAATATATCTTGAAATATATGGCTCTGGAATAAGTAAAAATAAGTTTTCGAGATTGTTTCCAACAATGTATGGTACAAAAAATTATTGAAAATGCAAACAGAAAGAGCAAATTCAAATGATCAGACATGGCCGCGAAACGTGGATTGGTAATTCTCTCATCTTCTCGCGGGCAGAGGCGGATCCAGATGATGTTTGAGGGGGGGGCCATAGAAAGTCACAGCTCAATAAGGTTAGCGTGGAAGAGAAATTATATGAGACAAATGCTTTTTCATTAAAAAAACCGATCATAGTAAACATCGAATTTATTGGTGTAAAAAAAATTCCATCAATGTATGTAGAATTCTGTAATAAATCATATTGGATAAAAGAAGTGAATGAAAAAATATTTCTGTTGAAAAACTTGGGTACAAAAGTGAATGAAAATATTTCTCTTCAAAAATAAAACAAATGAAACAGACAAAAAAAAAAGAAAACAAATTCCAGTCTTCTATTCTTCTGCCTAGCTTATCTTTGGATGATATCATCAACATTGAGACTGCTGCATCAGATGCCCCTGTGAATATGCATTAATGCCAATCCATTTCACCAGTCTTGGACCATTCTGGATCTTATCCAATTTCTCAGCCTTCTGAGTGTTGACAAACTTCTTTCAGAAGATGCAACACTTACAGGTAGGCAACAAAATAGTTCCAGAAGGATGTTTATGTTAGGGAACAAATGTTTGTTACATTCCTTCAGGGCAGTTATACCATTGTTTGGTATATTTTGCTTAGTATCCCTCATTTTCTTCCATATATACATTTCAGAAACGATCTTCTGGAAGGACATTTCATTATTCTCCCCAAAACTGTTCAAGTATATTTCCCCTAACTCATAAATTTCCTCATCTGTTTTGTTTTTAGTTATTGAGATGGCACACAAAGGTGAAGGTTGTATAGATTCAATTCATTTTCTGATATTCCTTCTTTCAGATCAATAATAATATACTGGAATGAAAACAGTTATTCTGTAATGGTCATCCACTGAGGAAACCGTATTTGGTCTATGAACCATTCTCCTTGTTATTCTCTGCATCGAAAATTCAACATTCAGCTCTTTCAATTTCTGTTTGGCTGCATTCGAAATACTTAGAAAGTAGGTATTTAGAATATCATCCCTTTTATCTGGAAGCGTCTGAACAGTGATACTAACAACATCGTTAGCTTGTTTTTTGTTTGGAGCAAATTACTAAGTGGCAGTGTTATCGAAAATATATTTGCCAAACAGCACAGTGTTATTACAAATTCGCAATTCCTTAAAGCTGTTGCGAAGTTTCTAGCTATGAAGACATGCACTAATTTTTTCATTTATTCAAAATACCTACATTTTTACATGTCCATGAGGTGCTCGAGGGGGGGGGGGCATGGCCCCATGCCCATGGCCCCATGCCCCCCCCCCTGGATCCGCCCCTGCTCGCGGGTGCCAATAAAATGCCAATGGACTCGACAGTGTTGCCAATTTGGACATAAAGCTATGATTATGCGGATATTCATTCCTTGATTTTTCCATTTTAGGTCATAATACAGATGCTGTTAGATAACTCAACTAATAACTACTTACCTGAAAATTCGCATTTTGTTTTGAATAACAGTGCAGATATGCATGCCATCTAGTTTCAAACCCTTCCAGTAAATTACTCTCGAAGGTACTCACCTATTATGTAACTACCTATAAGTACCTATCCATCATAGGAAAAGAAACAAATTCTGAATCAATCAATACTAAATTGCTTACTTGGTTCTATTTTTATTGATTTTTGTACATGTATCTCTGCCTTCCTGTCAATAATATTGAGAAATAACAACAGTGAATTTATGCGGGGTATTTTCAGGTTGGCAAAATTGTGAAAGAGCGTCTTACTGCCTGCATCACATTTTATCCTAGCCAATCTTGGGTTTTGTCAATCGAACGTTTTTTTTTTCTGTGAGATATCAGAATCAGGATGGTTCGGGAATCCGTTCGGCAGGAACGGCCTTGAGATTGGTCCACCCTGTATCTGTTCAGTCGTACAACAAGCTGTTAATAAGTCGGCGACGTAAGAGACAGACGCAATGTGAGAATGTCATATTATAAACAAGCCGTTATCTTTTGTATTATATCGTAATCTCGGCTGTGACATCTCACGACGTGGAGAATGTCCGGCATGCTAGGATGCTTACCCCACCTCTAGGGGATGGTCGTTAGGGGCTACCGGACTTGACGGACGAAATCATGAAAAAAATCACCCTACACATAGAGATAGATCTATTCAATACAGAGTGCGTCATAACTATAATAATAATAATAATAATTTATTCATCCTTTTTGATCACAAAGAAACATGATATAGGATGTCAGTAGAAGAAAGTTCTCGTCAGAATAAAATAACACTAAGAACTATATATGAATATGAAAAATATAAATAAATCACAATACAGTAACTTCTGATAAACATCTGATATTTGTTGTTTAAAAATTCATATGTATCATAGAAACTTTCGATGCATAGGAACTTTTTGAGTTCATGGTTGAATAAATTGAAGTTGTTTTCCAATCTTATACAGACCGGCAAATGAATAAAAAATTGGATTCCCTTGTACATTGGGCGTTTTTCATATAGACTTGTTCCGTGTTTGGGGGGTCTCATGAGGTTTGAAGATCGAGTAGGATAGTCGTGATAGTCTGAGCTGAAAGAAAAATCTTTGTAATTACTTTTGGCATGAACTATGCATTTGTAGATGTAAATTGAGTGGAATGTGAGAAGCTCATAATTTTTTAAATGATTTCGACAATCGACATGTTTCTCTATTGTCTAAGTTGAAGATTAAACGAATAACCCTCTTCTGAGAAATGAAAACTCTGGAAGCGCCCACTGCGCTACCTCAGATAATGATATTGTACGAAAGATGCGAGTAAACGATAGCATAGTAGACTATTGAATATATCTCGAAAAAATATCGAAAGAAATTGGATTCGCATATAAAATAAGCAAAAATCTTACTCAGTTCAGTAAACATATGATATACAGGGTGTTTCTTCAGTACGTGTAAAAAAATCAGGAGCATGTTGCTGACGTCAAAATAAGAAGAAAGTTCGTATAAATATATGTCCGAAAGTTATTCGTTTCTGAGATACAGAGTATCAAAGTTGAATACTTATTTATTTTTTGTTAATACATTTCCAAATAATTGTGATATTGGAATGAAATTTGGTATCTACTAGGGGTATTTTTCAATGACAATATCAAATTTTATGTTAGTTTGTCTCTTTCGTGGGGCTGGCGCCACCTACATGTCTATTGAGGAAATTTTCCTTCGTTGCTCACTTTTGAGTAAAATATAAACAATATTATCCCCAAACGGCGCCACTGGTAGGGAAAATGAAAATGTGTGTACATCAGAAAATGCACCTTGATGCACAGAAGACATGTATCAAATTTAGTAAAGATGTCTACAATATTATCTCAGTTATTATCAAAGGAATGATTTTTTTTCAAAACTTTATCTCCCTGTATCTCAAAAGTTAAGACTTTTAAGACATACCTCCATAGGAAATTTTCATCTTGAAGTGAGAGGAACACCCTCATCCTCCTATGCTCAGATATTCAGGCGGCCATTCAATCTTTAACATGCAATAAAATCAGATCAAAACTGGTCTGGGATTGCCTTCAAAGCCTGCTAACCCTGGCTAACCACAACAAGGTAACTCTTTAATGGGTGCCAGGGCATAAGGGAATTGAAGGCAATGAAGCAGCTGACGCTCTTGCCAGGCAAGGGTCTGCGACGTTGTTTATTGGACCGGAACCTGTGTTCGGTATCCCCAAAACCTCAATACGCGGCTGGCTGGCAAGGTGGATGCAATAAAGACATCAGGCATACTGGAACAATGTCCCAGGACAAAGACACAGTAAACTAATGGTTGGAACACTGTCCAAAACAGTGACTAACGACATTCTGAGCCTAAACAGAAGTCAGATCAAACAAGTGACGGGACTAATAATCGGTCACTGTCCTTGAGGAAACATATGCATCAAATGGGCATCTATACAGACGAACCAATATGCAGACTATGCAATGAGGAGGAGGAAACTGCCACCCATGTAATATTGGAGTGCGAAGCACTAGCGCGTTGGAGATACAACCTTCTGGGAGCAGTAAACTCTCAAGAGGCATTTTCAAAGAATGATTTGGTGAAGAGGCTGCTAAACCTCATCAAGGTAGCGAACCTGTTCACCTAAGTCAACAGCATGATCAGGAATACAATAGACCCAAAGGCTGCAGTGTTTTGGGCTTCGAACCCTGACTGATCATTCTGCTATTAATCAATCAATCAATCAATCAATAAGGAACACCCTGTATAAGCTGTTTCACTAAACCAATTTCAGTGAAATATCAGTGAAACATTGGCAGGTGCATCCCCTTCGCCCAATTATGAACGTTACCTTATCAGATCGTCGTATGCCTCGAAAAAAATTGCGTTTCGTGTCACAATCCGCGATAAGATTTACAAGGTGGAGTTTTTAATTTTTAATTAGTCTCTCCGGATTGGTCCTATATCACCGGGAAACAATAATTATTTCAGAACTTTCGTGGGTTCACAAACTCTATCGCTATTATCATAAAATATATGGTGCGATTCAGTGATTTAGTTTGTCCAAGAGAATATCACGTGTATGACTTCATCACCAATTTTTCAATAGAATTGAGTCTGGTCAGTAACTAAACTGGTCAACATTGATAACGTCGTGCTCCAAAATATAGCCTGAATTAAAAGTAGAATAACTCACGAATTTCCTCACCAATTTGAAATCGGTTTTCAATGATGATTAGCCTAATCTCTTGACAGTTTGTTGTGGTAATATGAAACTTCTGTAATATCAGATAACATTGCTACAGGGTGATAATTGAATGGGTGTAAAATTGCATCGTGGTCCTCACCTTACCGTTTGAACAGATAATTTTTTAAATTTTTTTTCTCACCTGTATCCTCTTGATTGATGCTTTTTCTCGAAACATTTTCGGAATTTTTGAATTCAGAGCTTTGATAATCGTGTTATGAATATTCATTCAGAATGATGCATTTTTTCGACGATTAATTGAATGAAATTGAAAGTTGGAATTCTTCTCCGAAGAATCAACGTTGTATGTATAGTCGTCGGATATGTGATCGTGTTCGAGCATAGAAAATTCTGAAAAATTGTATACAAAGTGATACAAGAAATACTGAATGATAGAATGGAGAAAAACGTATAGTCTTCAGTAGATGAAACATAATTTTCTCTGTGTTACTAGTGTAATAATGGAGTGTTCCTTCTTCATGAGGATGTCTGGTGTCTGACTTCGAAATGGATTTGTAATTTCTTGGATCGAAGGTGAGATAATGAAAGTACGCATTTTTAATCGAAATGATGCATTTTCGTTAAGATAAATTATAAAATTCAAGAAATAACGATTGTAGTTCCAGAAGTATGGAATTCATATTCATTCTTGACGATGGATATACAAGGTGCGATGAAAAATATGACCAGATTGTCCCGGGATGAAGAAGGATATGTTTAAACGTGATGAAAATCGCTATGCTCCGAAAAAAAATATAGTGTCGGTCATTGTCGAAATTTGTGTGTTCATTCCAATATGTGAAGTCTCGTTCATATTACCTCGTATGAGCCTCATGAGGACTTACTGTATTTATATTTATCAGTATGAAAACATTTAATCGAATCTGTGGCAATTCTGCAGTCTGTTTCATATTTCCTTGTATAAACCTCATGAGAAATTACTATATTTATTCTTTTCACAATTTTCGACAATGACCGACATTATATTCCTTTTTCGGAACATAGCGATTTTCATCACGTTTAAACATATTCTTCTCCATCCCAGGACAATCTGGACATATTTTTTATCGCTCCTTGTATATCCATCGTCAAGAATGAATATGAATTCCATACTTCTGGAACTATCATTTTGATTAAAAATGCGTACTTTCATTATATGACATTCGATCCAAGAAATTACAAAACCATCTCGAGGTCAAACACCAGACATCCTCATGACGAAGTAACACCCCATTATTCCACTAGTAACACAGAGAAAATTATGTTTTATTTACTGAAGACTACGTTATTCTCCATTCCATCATTCAGTATTTCTTGTATCACTTTGTATAGACTTTTTCAGAATTTTCTCTGTTCGAACACGATCACATATCCGACGACTATACATACAACCACCATACAACGTTGATTCTTCGGAGAAGAACTCCAACTTTCAATTTCATTCAATTAATCGTCGAAACAATGCATCATTCTTCATGAATATTCATAACAAGATTATCTAAGCTCTGAATTTGAAAATTCCGAAAACGTTTCGAGAGAAAGCATCAATCAAGAAGATACAGGTGAGGAAAAAAATTTAAAAAATTATCTGATCAAACGGTAAGGTTGCATCGTGGTCGTCGATGCAATTTTACACCCATTCAATTATTACCCTGTAGCAATGTTATCTGAAATTACAGAAGTTTCATATTGTCACAACAAACTGTCAAGAGATTAGGCTAATCATTGGTGAAAACCGATTTCAAATTGGTGAAGAAATTCGTGAGTTATTCTACTTCGAATTCAGAATATATTTTGGAGCACGATACGTTATCAATGTTGACCGCAGTTAACAACAAATACCAAAATAATACTTGTTACTTGTTACCTATAGTTCCTTAAAGTGTGTGCCTTGGATGCACCTTCATCAAAATTTGAAATAGATTCAGATTTAAGATCCTCTCTTTTATTCTCGCATAGAATTAGGAAAATATACAATTGTTCAGCGTTCTACAACTTCAACACCCTGTATGTCGAAGCGTGAGCTATTCTTTCACTTGTATAAATGTTGATAAAATCTTTCATTCTTAGTTCTGGAAAACTCAATCATCCCGATATTTACTATGATTTTTTTTCTAGGGTTATACACCACTGCACATCTCAGCACAATTTGGTCATAAGGACCTATTCAAACTAATGATAGAAGTTTACAGTAAGTTCATTCATATATGGTGTATACAGAAGAACTATTTTACCTACGATGTATTTCAGAAAATTGGCATCATAAAATGGGAAAATCTTTAAATAATAATTTTCAAATTTGACTTGGGCGTTTTGCTATTTCTACCCGGTCGGGGTCACGTGACTTTCGCTACCATGTTAAAAGTTTGATTGTTTCAAATTATTCACTGAAAATAGGCTTATTTGTTCGAATTTCATAAACGTTCACGAATTAAGTTGTTTCCATTCTGATTTCACACATTTGTCTCAAATTTGAACGTTCTCTTGCAACTTTCATATATTGATATTTCTGTAATATCAGAAATATTGTAACTTCGACATTACTGTTTACTTACTGTACACTGAACTTTGGTTAGATACTTGGATTATATTTAGTTTGAAAATATATCGATTGATGGGACTTTGGCATCATTTCAGTATACTGAAAATATCCATATAAATTAATTTCGCTCTTAAATTCTTCACGAAAATTCGAAATTTGAAACGGGATCATTATTTCATAGTGAGAATAATATTTGTTTCAATAATTAGTGATTGAATGTTAGTATTGTGAGTACGCTTCTGATATATGAAATATAGTTTCATCTGGGTTACAGTTTTTCTATAATACAAAAATTTAAGCTATTAGTAATATTTTTTAAAGAAAAATTCAAGGCCCAAGTCAATTTAGAAAGTTCTTGCCATATATGATGCCAAATATCTGAATGATACTATAGTTTTTGTGAAAATGAAATAAAAACTCAGTTTTCAGCAACAAATATGATTTGTGAAAAAATCTTTAAAATATGTGTGCCCTAACAGAACGTAGAAAACTACTGTGTGAAGAAAAAACTGATGGAAGATTTCTTTCTTAATTCAAAATTAATCCTGAATACACGTTCTTTTCGAGGTTCTTTTCGAGGTACACATCACCTCAAAGAGACTCCGAAGTCGAAAAATGTGTCAGTTATTTTTTACGCCGGCGGGAGTAGAATTTAGTTTCTCTGGTAACAAAAGATGGGCAGAAGTCTCGTATTATTCCCTAGGGAGATAATGTGAAATATTTTTTCCCTAGGGAGTTCATACCAGCTTAACATTTTCCGCATAGCTCTTCGCTTTCTTTTCGGAACACCCATCTCTGAAGCCAGTATAAGCTGCAGAATCACTGCAGAAGCTTCATACTGCTTTCTCGGGGTTTCCCTCGATTTCTTCTTCCAAAACCGTTAACCATTTTCAGATCATGTTTTCATAAATTTCAGTTTGATATTTGCTGTCACCATGGATTGTCAACAAGATGCATGTTGCCCAGATTCGAAATCCACAAACTATTTTTCTACTAATGGGCTTATATCAGAAAAATTTTTTTTTCATAATTCGATAGAACTCACCCAAACTAGCTCACCACCGCAAACCGTTTCTTGCTGTGAGCTCCCTACGTTTTATAAAAAATTATTGAAATCCCCGATTTTTCGGACCTCTGAAAACGAGGCGATGATGTGACGTCAAAACCCTAATACTGAAACAAGACTATTCCAGACAGAGATGAATGATACATGATTTCTGACAGAGTGAATTAGCGCGAGATCACAGTTGAAAGAATTAATATATCAGTTGCCTCAGTCTCCGTCGGGCTTTTGGTATTTTCTTTTAACTATGGCGAGAAGAGGTTTCTACGTCATGAGAGGGTTCGTTTTCAGATGGTACTATTATTTATGTCCAAAAATTAAACATTCCAGTTAATTTTTCGATCGAATTATGTCGTCAATCATTATTTATGTATAAAAGGATCATTATAAACATGGTTTGAGTTGAAAGTTCTACTAAGGTGTACACGCCCATTATGACAAAACACTTTGACCAAATTTTCATTCTTTCTTAATTCTTGTGTTTTCGTCTGCGTAAAAAATAGTATATACACCTCAGGACAGAATGCTATTTTTTTAAATCTTGCATTTCTGTCCCTTGATGTATAATGTACTATTTAATTTCGACAGAGGCCGACCCCAACATAAGGGACTACAGCGGCAGAACGGCCGAGTACTACCTCATGGCCAAAGAGCAGAAGGACGGCAACACCGGCATCACTGCACGCAGTGAGTACGGCACCGTAGCCAAAGAAAAGTCGCTAAGGCATGGCAAATCCAGAAGCAAAAGCTTTCGCAGCAAAACCATCACTATTTCTGCACCTACCACTCTGGTGGATTACCACAGTCGAAAGCATTTAAACGGGCTGTCCTCTACCACCTCCAATTAGAAAATAAAAAAAATGATTATTTATCTCCAATAGCTAGTTAGTTTATCATGATTATTTGAAAGAACGACGTTCCGAGCCAATATACCACGTAACAAAGAGGGAGAAACTCAAAGTAATTAGTAATAGTTCATAAAATGAACGAAAATAGTAGATAACGCTGATGTTGTCATGAATGCCATCTGGTGACACCCCTGCACTGATGAAAGTCAAAGCTTGAAACCGGTGTGTAGGTAGTCAAGCGTTCCTGAACAATTTAAGCATAAGTTGAGGAAAGGAACACTTGCGATTTTATTCGTTTTTACGCATCATTGCATGTATTTCGGAAGGAAGTTCTGCGGAAATCAGTTGTTTTCCTCTCGTCATCTTATTATCTATACCATTATCGTTCATTTCATGAACTATTGTGGTAATGACTTTGAGTTTATCCCTCTTTGTCACCATTTCATTCCACTTTGAATATTTTGCATTTTCCTAATCGAATATAGGTACCACATATTGTACAAGGTATCTACGAAAATGTGGGAGTTTCCTGGGATTCAGAAAAAACCTATCTGAACAATATAGAAACTTTTTATTTGAGTGGTTCGAATTCCAGAAATGGTTCGGATTCTATTATTAGCTCTAGGTCCCGCTCTTTCAAACCCCGAACAAGTTTCAACTCTTAGGAAGTTGGTTTTCAACTTCGAAGTAGCAATATACAAATTTTCCAAGAAAAAATATAATCCAATGAGAATTCAATATGAGGAGTAGGGACCCGTTAAAATATTTTTCTTGAAATAAATACAACTCCCATAGTTAATTATCCGAGGTGGGCTGATTTTCATTCGTAATGCTCAAATTTTCAACGCCCTGTATCTTGAAGAAGAATTTGGGAGCTTGATCTGAATGAAAAGAACTGTTATTTGTCAGGTTCTTTGAGAATCCGAGAAATTTTCCACATTTTTTCCGGACACCCTGTATATTTAAAAAAGTATTCAAATCGTAGGTGAACATAAAATTCTTACCAAAGTAACCCACTAGAAATTTTACAATTTTGAATTCAAAAGTTTTTTGATTCCACTTTGATGTTAATTCAGAATGAATATGTACAGGGTATGTTACACTAAATCTCTATATCAAGAATCAGTCGGGAGAAATTCATGAAAACATGCATGCTTATATCTTAGAATACGCTCTCTTTATATAAAATATTTTCAGCAATGCAGTGTTGCCGCTTCTATCAAAAAGTAGCAACAACTTTGTCATTTCAAATAGAATATCCTGTATTTCATTGCATCCTTAGATTCTTCCTGAAGAACTGATTTCATCGATACATCACACTTGGGGTCTATCGAAAACGATCACAGAGATATAGGGTGTTCAAAATCGAGATTTTTCAACTTTAGGATTTGTTTGGGTCGAAACTATTCATTATCGGCCAAAACGGCTCACATGACCACGATGTTCTTTGAACATTATAGGGATTCCCTTTCGTGCGCTCCAAGCGATAAAAAAAATCTCAACTGTTGATTTACTATTCACTGATATGATCAGAATCCTGAATCTTGAACCACCCTGTATCTGTTCCGAATAAATATCAGTAAATAGTGAATCAAAAGTTGAGATAGGGACAAGTTGATAGTTTCGACACAAAAAAAGTTGGGAAATCTCGATTTTGAACACCCCATATCTCTGTAATCATTTCCGATAGACCCCAAGTGTGATGCATTGATGAAATCAGCTCTTCAGGAAGAATCTAAAAATGCGATAAAATATAGGGTGTTCTATTTGAAATATCAATGTTGCTGCTACTTTCTAGTAGAAGCGGCAACACTGCATTGTCGAAAATATTATAAATGAAGGGAACGTATCCTGAAATATCAGCATGCACATTTTCATGGATTTCTGCGGACTGGTTCTCGATACAAAGATATTGTAAGCGTGACATATACCCTGTATAAGTGCCATTTTTGTTCAATATTTTTGTACCTGATTGCGTAGTCAGCTCATCGATGTAGTAGATTACCTTTTTCTCTGCTTAATTTTTTTATAGGTGGTGGCTATACTGTAGATCAGTTTTTCTTTTAGATTTGTTTCACAATTTTCACCTTCACTTTAAGCCATACTCACTGGACCTGCTTGAGCATCACGCCACAATTTTCTCAAACATATATCTATATTCATGTTCAAATAAAGTATTGTATAGTATATTTTTAAACATTTATAGTATTATTTATATATAATATAGTTCATTTATTGCATGTTATCTTTGGGGTTATATTATTCGTTATTAAATCATTTGGAAAAAATCATTGCTTTTTACTTTTACAGAATTGAAGGGAAGAAAAAAACAGTCTGGTAAGTTTATCTCAACAAAATTCTATAATTTGATTTGAAATATCATTTTTTTAAATATTTTATAGAGAAAGATTTGGGTTTTCTGAGGATGGGATCTTTGAATGTGAGAGTTAAGAAAACCACAGAAGCTTTTAGTAATTTCTTAGGGGTTGGAACAGCTACCATCAACCCTTTGGACCCTATGGAGGAAAAGGTTCATAAAGGTTGGGGATCAGCAGATAATGTCAATAAGGTGAGATCCTTCTCTTTTCTTTTCGAATTAAAGTACTTATACTTACTTAACTTATTTTTTTCATTAACTTTGCTGCTGTGCGTAGGCTAAATATTGATAGCTATAGCACGTAAGTATTCTTCTTTCACTGTGAAATTCAAGGGAATCAGTTCACAATTAGTTATACAGGGTGTTTAGAAATGACGCTGCCAAAACAACATCTAGTGTTAAGTATCGAAAATAATGGGATCTTTCTTCATTGTCTTGAGGGGGCTTCAATACAGGGTGTCCCAGAATAACGTTCGTATACTCCAGAAGTTTTCTTAAATTATCTATGCGTTTCCTGGTACAGATATACAGGGAGGTGCGAAACTCTTAACAGATGCTATAAAAATGCCCCAAGTTTTTTTGTTTCAAGATTCATCTTATTTCTAATAACAGAATATGATTCTTCGAACACTTTTACATGTGAAGGTATTCTTGTTAGAATGCCGTAAAATGAACCGTTTTCGAGGAAAGTGTAATTTTTAATTTGCTGTCGTGATGTGATTTGTTGAGAGAATATCCGTAATGAAAACTCAATTTCAGAGACTTATTCACCAGGTGAATTTTTTTTGACATCAAAATGAAAAATGACCTTTTTGTCGAAAACGATTTGTTTCACGACATTCCAACAGGAATACCTTTTTCATGTAAAAGTGTTTGAAGAATCATATTCTGTTAGTACAAATGAGATGAATTACCTTCCAGAGTATACGAATTATCCTGGAACAACCTGTATATGCAAAAAATATATACATAGTATTTTCATTATTAATCCACTGAACCGATTTGGATAGAAATTGGTCTGAGTTATCTAGGTCAACTGCAGAATCTAGGTATAAATTAACATTTTTAGTTCATTTGTTTTCGACTCTAATCTCTTTATTTCCGATGGTGCATCTGTGTATACTATAACTTTGACAGCGCGATAACGAATCACCCTGTACACTCATTTTCCTTTCCTGTTGCCGCAGTATTTTTCATAAAATAAATGTGGTGAGAAACGGCCGACATATATAGGATTCTCAATGCGTTTTGACAAAAGTTGACCAGCACTAAATATTATAACAGGATTCATAATCGAGTATTCAACTGGACCACTGCGGTTTTTTGCCTCACAGTTTCTATTTTGTGTCTTTAATGATATCATTATGACATCTAAATGCGTATCGAAGCATCTTCTATTAGAACACGCTGAATTTCTTCTTTCAAAGTTGGTAATGGTAACGTCAAACTGTCAGACACAATAATTTTTCTACCATTTGTCAAATAAGAGAATTAACATTCAAATGTCTTTTCATTGATACCAACTACTTACTTCATTCATATCTCTGATTGCTGTTGTTATTGATGTTTTTTTTTAATAAAAGAGTACAAATGATTGGAAAATAGAAAAAATAGTATAGTAAAATATTAACACAAACGTATAATTTCCCTGAAAACATATGGAGATTGTAAACAACCGAGAATATCATTTGAAGAAATGAAGTAAAAAGCAATAAATATTGGATATAGGATAACTCGGGGTCTATTAAGGGTTATGGAACCAAAAAGAAGAATAGAAAACCATACGAATCAGGAAGGAATAGCACTCCGACTACACCAAGGACTCCAACAAGGGGTTTTGCTTCCTTCAACCCGAATGATTCGGATTCTGATACAGCAGCTGGTTTTGATTCCAATTGGAAAAACTGAATACGGTCTAGTTCTCAAAATTGTTTGGGATTTTCTCTCCTCGTCACTAAAACTAATTCTAAAATCTTGAGCGCAGTGATATTTAAGGGCAAATCATCTGATTTGTCCTAACCAGAGACTATAGTTTCCTGATTTTTTTATATGAGGGTTTTAGATATATATTTCCTCATCTGCATCTGTAATACCATAAATGGACATCAAATTCGCTATGTTGAATGGAATGTACCATTTTTTATTGAATTATTGGAATCTTCCCTTGATTATATACACTAAGTACAGATTCCCAAACCTTCGAAAAACTTTCCAAAATATCCCACATGGCGCTCAGATATTAGTGCCAAATTATCCTGTTAAATTTTTTCAAATACTTACCCTTCTTTTTTCCTTCACCAGTGGATTCTACGCTGAAAAGTATAAGGGTGAATCTGAAAGTGAGGTTTTCTCGTTTGGCAAAATATTGGTGATATAAAATATTTGAGATAACATTGTGTTCACATTTTCTCAAAAAACACAAAAAAGCCGTTATTAGTAAAGCATTAGATACCCTACAGTTGCATTATTTCATCAGATGAATTATTCAAATACTTCTCTTCACATTTTCAACCTATTATTTTCGTTTTAAAGTGATTTTTTCATGATATTTCCTCTCATAAATCTTAAATTGATAAAATTAGATTTTACATTTTTACAGAAACATTTTTTGGCCAAACAACTTATTTTGGCGAGATATAGACGCTGTTAAATGAAAAACCTCACTTCCAGATTCACCCTGTATAGACTCAATGTTTAAATCACTATGTCTGAAATGGAAAATTTTGACAGAAACATAAAAATAAGTATGTGAATTTTCGTGATTTTCGTGGTTGATATTGGCACATTTGTATCACAGTTGGGAGAATATTACATAATTATACTCTCTCAACTGTGCTTGTATTGTCTTGTCGAAAAAATAACGCTACAGTCTATCAGCCGGGAAATTCCACGGGAAATGCTGTACAGAAATCTTTACTATATAATTCCATCACTAGCAATACCAGTCAGATTAAATCGACAGGCCCAGTCAGCACATTCCTTCGTCATTAACCTTGAAAGATTTCGAACAACACTCTACCAAATCGTTTGTCTGTCTGTAGAACGGCGAAGCTTTGGAATTCTTCGCCAATGGAACTATTCTCAAGAACTTTAAACCTCAAAATATTCAAAAAAACACCTACCTCCGCTCCCTAACCTTCCTAGGCACGATGTTCCACGAACATTATCGGAATTTCCTTTTGTGCGCTCCAAGAGACGAAGAAAAGTGGGGTGTGCATCCGAAAATAATTCAGTTGAATCAAGCACTTCTGGAAACCCATGTATATTAAAAATCTCAGAAAACTAGTCTCAGTATAGAGACGATCGAGGAGAGAAAATCCGATTTTTTTTGAAAATGTGAAAAAATCAGGGACGAATTAATTTTATTTATTTGGGAGGGGAAAAAATGGGATATTATATTATCATCACACTTGTTACAATACTCTCGCACTTTTTATCAATTACAACAATAGTTATTTACACTACAAGGGAGGCAAGTGATACTTACCAGTCGAGGACATTGTTTGCGCCCGAGCGATAGCGAGGGCTTGCAAAATAGTCCGAGACTGGTCAAGAACACTGCCTCCCGAGTTTTGTATTATATTTTTTCTACTCCTTACTCGGTAAGTACTTCATTTTATTTAACTTGCTTCCCTAGGGAGGTAAATATTTACTTACCTCCCTAGGGAGGTAGAACGTGTTTTCCTCCCTCAAATCAGTATCAAAATGAAGTACTTACCGAGTAAGGAGTAGAAAAAATATATTTATTTTGAATTGATCATCTCACATACATTCCAATGAAATATCAATGAATCTCTTCCTTCAAATCTGACATTTTTATACAATGTTCCTAAACTAATCGAAAAAATGTCAGGAAAGATTTTCGTTCGAAAATGATTGAATCAAGTGAGTGGATTTTATTTTTTATGTACTACTGAGACATCACATTCCAGTTTTTAAGTATATGTTCTTGTTTTTTGTCAATGTTCCTGTTGTGTACCTACTTATTTTACATAGTCTCAAACCTTTATCTGTTTTTCGTTCTGTTCTTGTATCAATAATAAATCGTTTTGAAAATATATAAGACTTTTCTTTCTTCTGTCCTGCACAACAACTTTTGTTCGATTAGGATTCCACCAGATCCAATTAGAATAAGGCCAAGTACTCAATGAATTATTCTAATTTCGTATGAAATCTGTTCAAAAATATACCTATGAAATATTCGAAAAATACATAACCTACATAAAAATTCAAAAAACCTCAGAATGAATCATCGAGAGAGTTTTTGTGAAATAATGAATAAAAATGTAATGTGAAATTTGTGACAGACTGGCAATTTCGTATTTATGAAAACTTGGATCATTATTCTTCACTATCTTATATACAGCGCCTCATATTACAAATACTATAAACTACTATTATTAGACACTGAACAACGCCATCTATTCAGTACATTCAGAAATAGTTATTGAAGCATAGTAGTATATTGAGATTACAGAAAGCTGTATGCAGATGTATGATGTCCACGAATTGTGAATTTCAAAAAGGTGACTACAGTAGCTTGGTTCCGAAGCCCGTAGATGGCGCTAATGATTCCAAATCAACAAGCAAACATCAATAGAAAACAATCATCCTATAATCTGGTGAACATTTCATCAGTTGAGTATATAATTCACAATAATTTGATGACTAAGCAATGGTTCTTCTGAGCATATAGAGTGGAAGGAACACGCCATCTACTTTCATCGATAGACAACTCGAAGTATTTCGCAGATTTCTTCTAAAGAAATAATACTTAGTTCTATGAAACGCTAGAAGATGGCGAGGTAATGGAGTCAACGAAAAAGGATGTGTCTTTAGGCGAATAGAATTCATCAGTATATTATCCTTTCACGAGACTGCCGATTCTCAAGAACTTTTCAGTTTTTATTCAAATTTAGTACTCCTACTGCCTATATATTATTTTTGAATTCGTCTTTTTCATAGCCCATACTACGGAAATAAATAAAACCTTTGAGTATTCACACTAGTAAAGTGACGAATACTGACGAAGCAAATTTTTACTAAATAAGTAAATACCTACCTACCACTATCGATTCGATATAGTTGCAAAACCTTTTTTGCGATCCTTATGATAAAAACTTCTTCGAACAGTATGACTAGTATGAGTATGAGAAATGGCGATATAACTTTGGAAAAATCTAGAGACAAATTTTTCTAACGCAAGATTTTTAGAAATCTGATGATTGTTCTGGACTACTGATGATCTCTGAATCTTATGAACATAATATATCTTCATATCTATATCTAAATATCAATAGATAACTACCTGGTGCATCTTTTTTTCATTGTACAGTAGTAAAAGAAATTTATTGTATACCTCCTTTACTAGTATGAAGCTACTGTGTTAACAAAATGTGTCATGTTATGAAGAATTTTCAGGAAATATCATCGTTTGTGAAGTTTTTTACATTTGATTGGTACATTTCCATCAAGTTGAAGGAAAACCAATGCCTACAAAAAAATGTTTACCAGCTGGTCAAAGGCCTCGTGGCAACTGGTACAGAGAGCAAACACATGCTAAACAGATGAATTATTGGAGTGTGCGATGTCCCAGCTATAACGGCGATACGGGACGAATCATCATCAAGGTGTTTGGAGTACAAAAATAAAACGGAAATGCTTAGAGATAAAGAATTAAGTTATTTTGAGAACGGGAGTTACAGAGTCTTGTAAATGATAAAGATGAGATCGCTTCAACTGCTTCAAGTTTCGAGGTTAATGCCTACTAATATTTCTGTCGACTGTCTTTGTTTTTATATTGATTTTATAACCTTTAGTTTAGATAAAAATAAGATTATTCTGAGTTAGACGTGGGAAAAAATCGATATATCGATAGTTATCGATATATGTGAAATCTAATAGCGCGCAGCCTTAGTGTGGAAACACTTGTCATCTTGGTAAACTGCTGAACAAAAAACATGAGACATGAAGTCTGAACATCCTTGACCTCTTCAAGACGTACTGAAAACGTCCATTTCTTTTCTAGACGTACGCGATTGAATAAATTGTATAATGATAATTGAATTCATTGCATATAATTTCTACCCCCGATCTCTGATATCCATTCATGTAGGAACCTTGCAATCATGAACATAATACAATTCTCACAGTTCACTTTTCACTGGCCGTACCTAATCACAGAACATCTATTTAGGTATTCTCCGCCGTGATCATCTAATTCCATGAGGGTATCAATGTGAATAAGGGTCAATCGACAGTCGCACATAATTTCTTGTTGTATACTGATATATTGAAAAGTGTTCTGTAGAGCATCTGTCTGGTAATCTAAATGTGATAATTTTCTGTCTACAACAAAACCACCAAGTTTTATCAAAATTGGCAAAAAAGACATGATTGCATAATTTATATAAAAATGATGAAGCTAGGACACATTTTCATGTGCACTTCTCTTCATAATAGTTTATTATGTAACAAGTGTTATAAACGTCCTTTTAGTAACGAGTATTTTAAGCACGAGCGGCGCAGAGCGGAGCGAGTGTTTAATAAACGAGTGTCTAGAAGAGTTTATGAACGCATTACATACTATGATTATTCTACGAACTACGAAAATTACAAACCCATTATGACCGGAATTTCTTTTTTTTAACTTTCTGGTTGAAAAATGGTTTGGACGCATTATTGGAGGGTTATTGATGTAGAAATGGAGTATTTATAAAAAATTTATTAGACAATTTCGAAATACTGCATGTTACACATAAGTAACCCTAGGCTATTCGGTTACAGCTTTAGAGAAATATTTTACATTTCTGCAAACTGGAGGGCTATTTGCCGTTACTATGAAAGATTATATTACATTCAATGCAAAGACCCAAGTCGCACTTTTTGCACATGGTTCTGGTACTTGT